GTCAGATTGTAACCTTCAGCGATCTACGTGAAAGTCTTCAAATTGTAGCCTTCTGGAAGTCGTCAGATTGTAACTTCCATCATCGGTGTTTGATGGAGGATAAGCTATCTATTGTGATTTTTAGACAGCCTACATCCACGTGGCTTAATAACTGCTAGGAATCATTCAATAACATGGGGGAGCCATTACAAGCAAAAATCATACTCATAACTACAGGAATAATGGTAATTAAACGAGGTAGAAGCGGTTACAAAACTACCAGAAGCAAGTCATGCTTCCGAGACAGTTGTGACTATCTCAAAAATAGGAGTCCTTCGACATGATTCCTTTTTGACTTCAACCTTTAGTTACAATCTCTAAGGGTTATAAATAACCCCCTACCACCTATATGCACGGGGGAGAGCATACCAAGCAAGGACGAAGGCAGAGAGAGCAGGGGCTGGAGCTAGTTGGTGAATCTTGAGCAAGAGAGAGAGTCTTCATGTTTTCAAGCATTTTCAAGAACCTTCGGTGTTTCCTCGAGATCTAAGTTTTGACTTGATCTTGGGAAGAGTGTTTTATCTTACTTTGCTAAGATATCCACTTATGTCTTTGTTTCTAAAATGAAACATCGACCTTAAGCCTTCTTTACGATTCAATTTGGATCTGTGATTCGGTCATCCATGGGCTAACGCACCCCTGGCACAACAAAGATCTCACGCAAGCAGCGGGTGATAAATATCCTTTGTGTGTGTTTTTAGGGAGCATTTGTAATCTTATTTTGTTGTAAAGAGTAGTTTTACAAAGCATAAAGTCTCACTCTTTTGTCTTCATTGTAATCGATAAACAGTTATAATGAATTTTACAATAAAATTTGTTCCCGACACAAACAGAGCAGACATGACAGGTAACACATGTGTCTAACCAACAACCAGAGATGTTGTTGGGAGTTGTCACCTGAAAGAGCATATATTTGTGGAAAAATTTGTAGTAAAAAGACAGTGAAAGAAAATTGACTTGTATTCTCTCAAAATCGATTACAATTTGGATTTTCTGGTTACAAAAGAGAAGAGAATGATCTGGATTCTCTCCTTTGTTTAAAACTGTGTTCTTCACGGTGGCGATGGAGTGCCTCCTTCGAATGCTCACGTCGAATTTGCTCTTCGTTGACGATCCGAACGTCTTGATTCACTAGAACGATATCTTCTCCTCACGATTCGACGCTGTGGAGAACTTGTGTGGCAAGTTTAAAACTCTTGATGAGTTGATAACTCTGGACGAGTTGGAAACTCTTAAAAAAGAGTGGATTTGAACCGAGAATCGGTTCTCAAGCCAAGGCCGAAGGCTTCAAGGAATGCTCCAAAGGATGAATGCCGATCTCTCAATCTATGATGCTCCAAGATCTCTCCCTTTGCTGCCAAGTCCCAGATCCAAAAAGCCAGCCTTAACTCAATTGAGTTTACCCATATTTATAGGGAATTAAGGGGTGTAACCGCCCCTCTTAATTCTCTCCATAATGGGGTTGAGAGTGGTGTAACCGCCCCCCTTAATCCGCTCCTAAGTGGGGGCGGAAATCCCTCAAATCGTGGAGGAAAAACGGTTTCTGCAACCGTTCAGCTCGTGTTTGAACGAGTCAAACGCCCACGTCGGCGTCCAGGACCCTAACTCCGCATTTTAGAATGGAGACGCGGAGTTGGGTACTCGCTGGGTGCTGAAAAACGCGGGTCCGACCCCAGCGTTTTAATGTTATAACACGGGTCTGACTCCAACGTTTTGATGTTGTAACGCGGGTCCGACTCCAGCGTTTTGATGTTGTAACGTGGGTTCGACCCTCGCGTTTTACTGTTGACACACGGGGAGGACCTCCGCGTTTTGGTGTTGATACACGGGGAGGACCTCCGCGTTTTGGTCTTAGAGCGCGGTGATGAGTCCCGCGTCTTGCTTTGGAGAGATTATCAACAAGTAATATCTTTTGTCATAGTGTTGCAAAGATCATTGTCTTGTAATCTTCGTCTTGGCTCCTTGAGAATATGAGAGTCATCAGATTGTAACTCCCGATGTTGATTGTGAATGCTGTTGAACTAGAGCTCTTATCGGTTGTCGTGAAGGTCATCAGATTGTAACCTTCAGCGATCTACGTGAAAGTCTTCAAATTGTAGCCTTCTGGAAGTCGTCAGATTGTAACTTCCATCATCGGTATTTGATGGGGGATAAGCTATCTATTATGATTTTTAGACAGCCTACAGCATAGCTACAGAATTATCAACCAGAGATGTTTTTTAGCGACGGAATTTGATTTTTTCCGTCGCTAAAACTTTTAACGACGGAATTTAGACCTTTAGCGATGGAATTGTCCGTCGCTAAAAGGTATAAATCCAGTAGTGGTTCCCTTTTTTGGTGTTTTGCATTCCTTGGAAAAATATCATTGCTTCCCACAGTTGAAGCAATTGCCGCTCTTCTTGAACTCTTTCTTCTGAACATTTAAATTCTTCATGTTTTGGTTCTTCTTTTTGTTAAATAACTTCTTCTTTTTCATAGAAGAAGAACTAGTACTCTAGAGTTAGCAGCCACTATGTTAGCAGACGACTTCTGCTTAGCAAGAGCTTATTCTTCGTACGAGTCCGAATCTCGTCCTCGATCTGAATAAACCTCTTCAAATCAAATAGAGTCACCTGTTTTTTCCTTCTTCGGATGTCCGTGGAGAATGACATCCAAGATGGAGGAAGCTTGTTGATAATTGCATCAGAAATAAAGGTTTTATAAAGATTGATCTTTTCATCCTTCAGCTTCATAACAAGCTTTTCAAGATCTATGACTTGAGGAAAAACCTCAGTGTCATCTTCGAATTTGAAGTTCAGAAACTTGTCAATGAGGTGAGACTTAGACAACTTCTCCTCATCCTTGTATTGGTCCTCCAGAGCATTCCAGATTTTCTTTACAGAGGGCTTATTGGTGTAAGCATCTGCTAGATGATCGGCCAGACGGTTAAGGAGATAACTCCCGCAGAAATGATCATCTTTAGCCCAAAAGGCTTCAGACTTAGAATCTTCTTCAAAGTCGGGTTTCTCCTCAGAAACGACATAGTAGATTTTCAGGTGTTGTATCCCGAAAATTACTTGTTGACGCCACGCGTTAAAGTTGGATCCGTCAAAGTTTTCTAACTTGAGACAATCCACTCCAAGTGTCCTCATAATATCCATTGTAGATCACAAATATTGCTTTAAGATTGTTAGTACATGTGGCTAAATCTGGAATAAAACGGATAAATTTGTTAGATAGTTAAAGTGCTATATTTTTAAAACTTTTTAAGTTTAACTGTTGTGCGTTTATAAAACGTTGTGCTTAAAATAATATTTGGTCTACTCCGGTGCAAGGATCCCATGGCCAAACTATTTCCAGGAACAGTAGTACAGTACACTGGTATGCATAGACCAAGTACTGTCAAGATTACTTCTATCTATAAGATCTTTTGGTTAAGGCAAAGATCTCCTCGATCTGTTAAACCTTTTGGTTCAAAACCTTTCGGTTTAGGAAAAGATCTTCTTGATCTGTTAAAATATTTCGGTTCAAAAACTTTTCGGTTAATGCAAAGATCTTTCGATCTAAAAAAAGCTTTCGGTTCAGAGCTATGTTCCTTCGGGCACAAACTAAAACTTTCACGCTTTCAGGCTCTGCAGCAGCAGCACAACAACACAAAACACTTGTATGTTTTTTGTATCTCTTTTTTTATCTCTTGTATCCAAGAGCTCCCCAATAGGCACTATCTATAGGTCTCTAAGACCAACTCAAGGGTCACCCATATTTAATTTGACCGTTACAAGCATAATGGCGATTATGACAATTATATTTGTAACGACAAATAACATAATATTGTAACCGTTGCATGCAGTAATGTCTGAATGCGAGGGTCGCGATCCTGCGCAACACGAGGGTCACATCCAGCCTCGGGCGAACATGAGGGTCGCGTTCCCTCTTGTGAACACGAGCGTTACACCCTCATGCGAACGCGAGGCTCATTCGCATGTTGCGAAGCAGACTGCAAGGCAGTCCTGCGAGGTAGCCTGCGTGGTAGCCACCTAGCCCCAATGTCTTCGTACGAAGTGCAAAGTGCGTCTAACAAAGCGCTACTTAGCGTCTCAGCCCAAATAGCCCCGATCCCCGGCCTATTGGTCCACGACTCATAATAAGCCCACAAGCCCATGGCCCATGACCCACTAGAACTTATGAGTGGTTAATTAAATAAAAACAATTCTCGGCTTGCTGTTGACAAGCCTCGAACACAGGACCTTTGAGATATCAAAACTTTAACTTTCCACTACGCTACTAAGAATTTCTAAAAAATACCAGTAGTTAATAAATACATAGTTTGAAAACTCATTTTTGGAAAGAGATTTTGACCAAAAATATCCAACAACAGCAAGTTCATTATTATATGAGACAAATTGGAATTTTTTCCCCAAAATTAGTTAGAAATATATACGAACAAAAGATAGAAAAGTAGATGATACCTGCTTAATTAAAAAAAATTAAAAACTATGAACACAACAATACAAATAGGGGCATAGTATTGTAAAGGAAAAGGCACGGAGTCTTGATAGGATAAAACTCGTAAATGTTTAATTGAAAATAAATTAAAACGGACAATTTGATTTCCCAAAAGAAGGGAGTTTCTTTATAGGGAAATAATAAATAAATAAACAAATAAACGTAAAGGCTAGTTGTAGTATGCTAACAAATCAAACATTAATTAGCTCTCTCTCGTGGCTTTATTTTCTACAATCTTCAATATTCAATTTATTTGCAATCTGAAAAACATACTCATAGTCCCAAATTTAGCCAATGGCTAGTTACAAACAAACAAACAAAAAAAAAATCAATTTTAAGGACAAGACCAAGTCAACCAAAGAAATTAAACCTCAATTCAAACTCAGACAACATGAGAGAAACTAGGAACAACTCCACAACTTACC